GCCTGCTGTGGGACTCAAGTCCAGATGAAATCCTGCCCTTATCTGAGGGCAACATGTCTTTTAAGTGCCCTTTGCTCCATCTGTGTTAAGTGAGACTCCAGGAGAGGTGGAGCTTGTACACAGAGAACGGTATGTTTCAATGTAGCAGGAACACAGAGAGGTCGTGACACCAAGGCTATAATGGGAAGTGGCAACTTTATTATGCCCATGGGCTCGGTGGGCTCAACGGACTAATGCTTCCAGATCGAGCCCCCCACAAATGGGTGAAGTGGGGTCTTATACCTTTGTTTAGGTAAGGGAGGGGTGTCGTGTTGAGCAATTACACATCTTTGGAATTTTCAAGGTTGTACTTAGTAAAATCAGATTTTTAAAGAATAAATGGTTTCCAGGAACTGCAGGGCAAGGAGGGTCTGCAAGCAGGGTTGTAAACCATCAACTTCAAAAGAGGGGTTTTGGATTAGTCTGTGAATTAGTTACTCTTTTGCATTTCCATGAGACCCCTCAGTCTTTGGCCCTTTGACTTTTTCAAACAAAACCGGCCTGGTGGGTCTTTAAAGTTTGACTTACAAAAGGAAATACCTTTAACTGCTACCAGCCCCTTTCCTGCCACAGGGTTAGTGGGAGACAATTGTCATCCCAGATGATTGCTATGGGGCCAACTGCTGACCCCAAAGCAATTACTCATGTGTTTCTGAGTTTATTCACTCAATCATACAAGAAATATATATTTGAGCATTTGCCACATTAAGATTGTTACTTCTTTCTTGACACCGTCTTAAACTACCTTCATGAATAGTATTGTAATGTATGCTGAGAAGGAAGAGACAAGCCACTGGTGATTAACAGTTTATTAAAGAAAAGAAAAGGGGTGGGGGGTGGCTGGCTCTATAGAGAGAAACCAGAAGTCTTTGTTCTTTTGTCTTAGTTTATTGGGTTTTGAGAAGCAATTTTAGGGAGTTTTGGATTGAGAGCCTTAAAGTAGTTGTGGGAGTTTGAGTTGTCATCTTTTGGCCTTCAAATGCAGATGTCAGTACTGCTGAGGTCAGTCCTATGGCCTTGAAGTGCAGATGTCCTCACTAAACCAGTCACACTTGTCTCTGAAATGCAGCCTTAGGAAAGCAAACACTGACAGTCAGTACAAGGCTGTTATCAGTCACAGAGCTTGGGATGTGGTCTTGGGGAAAGTAGATATTGACAGTAAAGCAATTTGTAACAGGATGCTGTTAGAACACAGTGTTAGTTTTGGGGCCCTTGCAACTTGTTGCTCCATTTCCAAGGTTTATATGATGAGTTGTTTTAACTACAACCTCCTCTCCCATTCCCCTACAAGCCCTATCAAGTGTCTTCCTAATGAAACTCGAATTCCTCTATATTTTCAACTTTTATAGCCCTACGTGAATGAAGGTAGAGATCTGTAAAAAGAGGCAACACGTTATGGCAGCTTGAGAGCTTATAAAATTTCTGTGCAGCTACTTTCTTGGAGTCAGTCATTGGTGGATTTCCATTATACTATAAAATTGAACGAACTAACAGCTTGCCAGCAGTCCCTAAGGACCACTGCTGTGAAAGGAAAGGGGCCCTGATCATAGAGAAATAAATGCCAAAGGGAGGCCCAAACTTTACCTGTATGATGACCACTTGTGAACCTGATCCTGAATTGTACACACATCTCTAAAATAAAATTTTTAAACAAATAAATAAATTGACTTTTTTTTTTGCCATCTTCCCCTGAAGAAATGGGGAGTTAGTTAATTAGATCTAACCCCCCCCCCCCCCCCGTGGAGCAAGTGCGATGCATTTAACTCCAAAGTGGAAGCAAACCACTCTATTTTGGGATAAGAATAAAAACTGCTAGGCCAGGCTCAAGCCTGTAATCCCAGCACTTTGAGGCCGAGATGAGAGGATTGCCTGAGTCCAGGGTTTTGAGGCCAGCCTGGGCAAGTTGGTGAGACTTCGTCTCTACAATAAATAAAAAAATTTAAAGAAATTAGCTGTGTGTGGTAGCGTGCACCTGTAGTTCCTGCTCCTTGGAAGACTGAGGTGGAAGGAGTGCCTGAGCCCAGCGGTCGAGGCTGCGGTGGCCATGAGCATGCCACTGCACTTCAACCTGGGTGACAGAGTGAGACTCCAACTCAATAGAAAAAACAAAAAAACCCCATAGTACCAACTGCCTATATTTGTATCTTCAAGAGATTATAAATCTCATAGCATGTTCACGTTGAGTTACAAGAATTGAGACTTTAAATTTAATATAACAAAGTTATGGCATTACTAAAAAATACTTTTCACCTTTCAAAATTATCAAAATTCTTAAATTATCAATTCCTAACTAAAGAGGGGATGTCTGTGATTGCGTGTATACTACTCTATTTACTGCTGAGTTCTGACCAAAAAGCAAGCTATGTGTTTTCAGAAAATGATTTCTGGTGAGGTTTCATTATCTGAGATAATTCAAAACAATATGCAAACTGATATAATGTAGAGGTACTGAAGAATCAATCTTAAACCTCAAAGTTCAAAATCTGCTATCACAATTGAGTAAAAAAAAATCAAGAGACACAGTGTCAGGTTAGAGATATCAGGCTTCTGTGAATAGTATGCGAATGCTGATGCTCAGAAACAGGAGGCGTCAGTGAGTGGCTGGCAGGATGGCCTTGGTAGCTCAGAGGGCTTCCCGTCCAGTATGAGGGGGCAGCCAAAAGGTAATCTGAGTCACACAGCCTGACCACACTCTGCCCACAACGGGACTTGGAAGAACCAGGACCAGGACTAAGTAGAATGCTATATATTAAAGTATAGCGATATGCTCAGCAAAACACTGCTCAGGTGAAGGTTCTTTATTACATTATACATAAGCTAAGAGAGCAAAGATTTGTTCATTCTAATGATTGATGTGGACATGAAAAGCTTCCATAGGAGATTTTGTAATTAAATCAAAAGATATGAGACATCCAGAAAAAATTCTATTTTCCAGAAAGTCAGATACAAGATAACCTGGGGGAAGCACAATCTGGAATATCCCTCTCGAAAGGAATTTGGCAATGTCTGATAAAATAATACATTCTTACATTTGATTCAACAATCTCACTTGTAGGAATCTATTGTGAAGTTACTCCCACAACAACATAAAAATACACATGCCCAAGGTTAGGGGAGTTATTGTTTGCAGCATTATTTGTAATTGCAAATTATTGGAAAAATTCTAAATACCCATCCATACATAAAAGAGTGGTTAAATCAATGGAGGTATGTCCACATAATGGTGTAGACACCTGCCAAAAGAATTGAGAAAGTTTTCTATAAACTGATATGGGGGACTCCCATATTTCTATACGATGTGATCTTCATGGTAGAACACATGAATAAGAAAATATAAATGCGCCTGCTCATTTATGGAAAGAAACTCCAAGAAAGGTAAGTCAGAAACTAACAAGATTGAGCAGTTATAGAGAATGGGTGGAAATGAAGTGAAAGAACAGCAAGAGAGCAGGAATGGGGTAAGTTGAAGGAAAACTGACACTTTTCTGACTTCAGTTTTTAGAAAAACTCTGACTTGTAGAACCCTGATGTTTCACAGGCTCAAAAAACAAATACTTAAAATCAACCAATATACCAAGATGTGAGAAATGCCAAAATAGAACACAAACAATAGCCAATGAACATAACAGTATTACAAATGAATAATTTAACTGTACTGAAGAGGGTGGAGAAGAGAAAACTAAGAAGCCACTTTGGAATTTAGTGTTTTAAGCATATACATAAGGTTAAAGACAAAAAGAACTGTACACTAGTAACTTCCTGTAGTTAGTAAATTTATTTTTCACAGTTATTGATTGGCATTTTAAAACCAACAATGGACACTAAAAATCGTGGCTGAAACAAATATGAAAGTATGACGAGCTTATATGTGTCTCCCCAAGAAGTACTCTGTAGTGAGAAAATGGTACGTAATATTCATAGTACTTTATGGTAGTGAATTTGTCAGACAGTACCTTAACCAAGTGATCAAAGTTAAGATCATAGTATCAGAATATGTTATGTCAACACCAGGAATAGCTTAATACAAGACACGGAGACTAGTAGACCATCACTTCTGTGACACACTTGCCAAAAATGCATAACTTCAATCTAATAATGAGGAAACATCAGAAAAATCCAAACTGAGGGCTTTTCTACCAACCTGCAGGCCAGTATGCTTCCAAAATGTCAGTGTCATGAAAGACAAGGAAAGAACAAGAAACTATTAAAGATGAGAAGAGATGAAGGAAATACAATGATAGTGACTAAAACCAGTGAGGGATACTGGATTGAAGCAGAAGGAGAAAATTTGTGGGAAATGAGTGAAATGTGACTAAGGTATGCAATTAGTTAATAGTACTGTATCACTATTAAAATCTTGGTTTTAGTTATTGTTCTATCGTTATGTAAGCCATTCATATTAGGAGAAGCAGGACAATGGTACATAGTAATTATCCACACCTATGGTGCATTGTTCTGTAATCTCTTTCAAAAGTGATTTTTAAAGAGAGTCAGCTGACCAATCTGTGGGACAGCCTGAAAGTGTCACAGGTCTTCTTAAAATGTCCAAGGAATGGGCCAGGTGCAGTGGCTCCAGCCTGTAATCCCAGCACTTTGGGTGGCCAAGGCGAGAGGATTGCCTAAGCCCTGGCGTTCGAGCCCAGCTGGGCAACTAGGTGAGACCTCTCTCTACAATAAGAAAAAATTATCAGGGCATGGTATATGCACCTTTAGTTCTGGTTACCTGGAAGGTTGAGGTGGAAGGATCACCTAAGCCCAGCAGGTTGATGCTGGTGTGGCTGTGAGCATACCACTGCACTCCAGCCTGGGAGTCAGAGTGAGACTCTGACTAAAAAAAAAAAAAAAGTCCAAGGAACAGTGTTGATGAATGCAAAACAAAATTTCTGTATGTATTGTAAAGTTAATCTTAGCTAACTGACCAGAAATTGCTTTCCGTTCTTTTTTTTTTTTCCTTGCAGACAAGGACACATCCTGGACATGGCCTCAGAGATCCACATGCCCGGCCCAGTGTGCCTCATTAAGAACACTAAAGGACAACTTAGAGTTAATCAGGAAGCTTTGGAGATCCTGTCTGCCATTACAGAGCCTGTGGTGGTAGTGGCTATTGCGGGCCTCTACCGCACAGGCAAATCCTACCTGATGAACAAGCTGGCTGGGAAGAACAAGGGTGAGTGGTACCAGCAGAGCTTGGATGAGTCCCCTCTGTCTAGTCATTCTGGGAACTGAGGAAAGAAAGTCAGAGTTGGGGGTGAATATTGAAAGCTTTCAATCCATCAGTGAACTCCTTACATTAACTTGAAGGATTGAAGTCAATTCACTCTTTCTTCCCACTTTACCTTTTTTCCCACATTTAAAATATATGTCTCACTGGATAAAATAAGGAATTTTAAGTTAATTTAAATAACAATGAATTATAAAAACACTTACTAAAATACTCATGTAGTAACAGCAAGCTTTCACTGAATTTTAAGATTAGATGAATGTTTAAATCTGTATTGGACATCCTAATTCTCTATTTTTTGTAATTAAGCTCAATATTGTTTGTAATTTCTTTCATCTCTTTTACATGAGACAGCTGTTCAGTGCCAGGCATCAGTGTGGTTTATAGAGCACCAAACTATGAATCAGGAGATTGGTGTTAAAGTGTAGTATGTATGTGTGTCTAACTATCCACCAGTTACCAGTTCTGGGTTTCAGCTTCATCATTCAGAAAATGAGTGATTGGACTAAGATAGCTTGAGGTCTTCTGTCAACCTAAAGTAACCACAGATAGTCGCTCTCCCAAGAAATCAATTTATTGGGGAATAAGCAGAGAATTTACAAATTCTGGATATAGGTGCTATGACTAATCTGAAGCTCCTCTGAGGAGGTTGAGGCAGTGAGAAACTTGTAAAGGCCAAAAAGGAGAAGCACATGCAGGTTGATTACCTTAAAATTTCATTGGTCTACAGGAGCTTATTGTTGGTGGTGACATATGAATTGACTATTACTTGAAAGGGTTTTATGAATGTGACCCTGATTGTAGGGCCCCTGATTGCAGGGGGTAATGTCAATGTAAGGTTGTGGTTAGGACTGGCTGTTGCTGGAAATATTGATGTGATCTTATTTGCAAGGTTGTAACTGGCAGTGTCTTTGATGGCAGTTAGGAGGCATTTTTGCTGGTGAGCACGCAGGAAAACACTTCATGGCCTCCTGATTCCATTTTGTTAGGGTTTGGTATAATTGACGCCATTTTTACTCTGACAACTTTCAGAACATTCTCCCCTTTGATCAAGGTGTTTCTCAGAATTCATTGTGAACTAGCCATCCTGTGGTTATGTTTTATGTGTTTCTCAGTGTTGAAGAAACTTGAATTGGTTGCTCTTGTCCCAAGTCAGGGGGAAGTGACTAGTGACTGAGAGTCAGTTTCAAAACATTTTAGCCACATTTGAGCAACAAGGAAGTTTGGAAGGAGTAACTTTCAGGTTAAGTCTGCCTGGAATTCATTTTCAGCTTCCATTTAGTCAGTTTTGCATGTGTTGGAAATATTCCTATTCAAGTGCTGGCCAGGATTATTCTGTTAGGAGTGTCATTTTTGCAGAAGTTGGATGGGCAACAAATACAAAGTTTAAACTAATATAGATGAGAGCCATGAAGAGTCTAACAAATCCATTTCAGAAAACTTTTCTAAGCCTATTAAACAAATTTAAAGACCATGTGGTATTGGGTAAAATGTTTTGTAGACATTGAGTCTGTTCTCCTACTTATGTAGCTGGTGATACATAAGGTTGGTGATTTTATTATTCAGTATTCCACTACTAGGTTAAATTAAATCAGAGAGTGGTAACTCTAAAAAGGATTTATTGGCACAATTTGAGCAAAAGCTTGTATTGGGCTGTGTTCAAAGTTACTCATTGGTCAAGGAAAGGATTTTGTAGTTCATGAAAAGATTTGGATTTGGCTTGACGGATCCAACATTTCATCAAGTTACCCAGAAGCTACTGATAATGAAATATTAACTACAGCATTATCCTTTCAAGAGAAAAGGAAGACATAAGCAAGGAATACGTAGTGAGTGTTCCAAGGTAAATGTTATCCTAGGAAATGTCGTTGTAGATAGATAGTCCCTGTCATTTTGCTAACACAAATTGGGATGGAAACCTACTAGCTGAGCACCTACCACAGAGTATATCCTGCTAAACAGCAGCTAGCCACCACAGGGCTTCTTCCTTCGCTTCCTGCATCTCAAGCAACTAATTAACCAGCACCCCTTCCCCAAATTGCTATAAATTATCCTTAGTCTGTAAACGGACTAGGCTTCAGTTTTCTGGAGTCCCCTCCGCAGGTCCTCCACCTTAGCATAAACCAGTATTGCTGTTAAACTGCCCACCTCTTTTTCTATCTGCTCGTTTTCTTGACCAAACAGCAAGAGCATCACCATTATGAGAAGTATAGTTCTGATGTTCTTACAACAGCTGGCCATAGCAAGATGACATCAACTTCTCATACTGGTTTGCAGTTTAAATATCTTTGGGTATGGCATTGAGTAGTTTGGTGAACTTTCTGTGTACCCCAAACATGAAACATGAAATTCATCCCTTGAAACTTATGTGGAGTCATGTAGCATTCGCATATGGGGCTCCAAGAACAGAACAATATTTATTTTGAGTAATTCCCGGTGAGAAAATTGGGAGAAAATGGCTTTGGAAGAACCTATAAGAATTCAGGATTTAGTCTAAAGTGTAGGTAAATAATAATAATAATAATAATCAATAGCAGTAGTATAAAAGCTCAAAAACAAAGCACAATGTTACTCTCTAATAACAGTTTTCCTTTCTAAAACATAAATTTTCTCCTACAGTCATCCTACGTTTTACTGAGGTAAGACTAATTTGTTTTCAGATTAAGTTAACCTCGTCAAACACGACTTGCTTATTTATACAAGTGCAGCAAGAAGAATCAGTCATACAGGTTCTTTTTAAGTTGTTATTGTTGGAAGTGTAAGCCAATTAAGTAGAACTCTTTGATAAATTTTGGAGGAGTATATCACACACACATGGCATAAAGACATGAAAACATACTGACGCAAAGATTTTATGACATTTCACCTTTAAAATTTTAGTCACCAGATAATAAAACATAGTAATACATACTCTCTAATTTATAAAAAGAACAGCTGGATCCAAATTATGTTTCTAACAAAATGTTTCTTTTCACTGATTTGAGAAACTATGAGACATCCCTGGTAACTGGTGACAGGAAATGCAGACCATAAATGTTACTATTGACAAAATGCAGTTGTAACTTAAGTACTACACAGTGCCCTGTCAGTCACATAGTCAATCTATAGATACCAACAAACTTAAACTTATAAAAATGAATTGTGAAACCTGAGGGATGAGCAGACAGGTTGCAGAAATGCCAGGTGCCAGGTTCTGTCTCCCTAAGCTCTACATTCAGAAATAAACTTATTTCTGCCAGTTCCCTGCCTCTCAGTTTATTGGCTTTGAGAGATAGCAGTCGAGCATTTACTTGGACCATAACAGAATAAGTGTAGTGGTTAATTACTTAGATGTTTACATTTTAGCTAAAGCTGGCTGAAAACACAGATGTTCCAAGTGACTTTGAATTTAGTTAACAGTTTCCCTTTCTTTTTTTTTTCTTAATTTTTAAAAAGATGTGGGGTACAATTCAGGGTTAGGTATACAAATGTTCATTTGTATGCAGGTGTTGATGAGGTGTGCCCCCTCTCCTCTGGCAGTTTCCCACTACTACCAATCCTGCCCCCACTTGTTTTTTGTTACTGACGATGGCCATCCTGACTGGAGTTAGGTGGTATCTCAGTGTGGTTTAAATTTCTATTTATTTGATGACTGGTGAGGCTGAGCATTTTTTTCAGGTATCTGTTAGCTGCTCATATGTCTTCTTTTGAGAAGTGTCTATTCATATCTTTTGCCCACTTTGTAGTGGAGCTTTTTTTTTTTAATGGCACATTTGAGTTGCTTATAGATCCTAGATGTTAGGCCTTTGTCAGGTATACAGTTGGCAAATATTTTCCCCTGTCTGTGGGCTGTCTTCCTGCTCTCTTGATGGTTTCTTTGACTTTGCAGAAGCTTGTCAGTTTGATGAGGTTCCACTTGTCTATCTTATCTCTTATGGCATGGGCACTTGGGGTTTTCATCGGGAATTTGTGGCCAATTCCAATTTCCATAAGGATGTCTCCTGCATTTTCTAATGTTCTTATAGTTTGAGGATTTACGTTTAGGTCTTTCATCCATTTAGAGTTGATTCTTGTGTATGGTGATAGGTAGGGATCTTGTTTTAATCTTCTGCATGTGGTCAGCCAGTTTTCCCAGCACCATTTACTGAATAGGTTCATAGACTGAAAGAATCAACATTGTTCAGATGTCCATCCTACCCAACACAATCTATAGATTTAACATAATGACCATTAAATTACCAGTAGCATTCTTCTCAGACCTGGAAACGACAATAGGAATTCATATGGAAACAAAAACGGCCACGAATAGTCAAAAAAGTCCTCAGCAAAAACAAAACAAAACAAAAAAACTAAGAGGGAGGTATCACACTCCCAGGCTTTAAACTTTATTATAAAGTTTAAATAACCAAGCCTAGTATTGGTACAAGAACAGACATATAAACCAATGGAACAGGTAGAGATTTCAGAATCAAAACCTCAGTAACTTAACCAACTCTTCTTTGACAAAAAACTCACCTGCAACCACTGGGAAGAGAAAATAATCCCTTTCTTTTGTTTGCCATTTTAACTTTACTTGGCTAGTCAGCTTGGGTAGGAAACATTTTAAAGTTGACTTTTTTTCAAAGGTTATTTGCAGTTTTTTAATTTGTTTATTTACTTTCTTAGGTCCATGTGGCAGAAAAGACATTTTCCACGCTGAATAGAAAGATCTTTTATTATTATCCTGAGCTCAAGATTGTGTCCAATGGACAAGGATGGTTCAAAAGCAGACTCTGCTCGAGAGCCTAGTTTTTATATAAATTAGGTGTGCAGGCCATTGAAAATATTAAACCAGGCATGAAGAAGTGAAATAAAACCAGAGCAATGTACTCACCAGAAAGATGATGTTCTTATACCAGAAAAGGGCTTGCCAGAAAAGTCTTTCATAGCCCCAGAAGGGATGCAAGGTCTTATATTAAGGCTACCTTATTAAATTAGATCCTGAATGCAGTCAAAATAACTAAACAAAAAAGAGAGAGTTCAAGCCAAGGGGAGACTCATCAGGACAGAAAACGTCAGTCATGAAAATGAAGAGACTAAGGGCTTAACAAGTGAATGTTACACATGGTTCCAGGCCTGCTGATGATTCCAAAATGGGTTCACGTCCAGTCCCTCTTCTGATGTCAGATTATGTCAACTAAACTAACAAAAGAGAGAATGACTGGTTAAACTGATAGGTTTGTTTCAGAAAAAGCTTGGAACTTTCAAATCTGGGATGTCTATGCCATCATGAATCATAAGCATACACCGGGAGGTTGAGGTGGTGGGAAATTTTTAAATGCAAATATGAGAAGTACTTGTAGGTTATTTTGAAACAAAAGTGCATTGGTTTACAGATGCTTACTGCAGAAGGTGATGCGTGCATTGGCTGTTGCTAGGAGAAGGTCTCCATAGAAGTGACACTGATTGCCACTTAGACCACTTGCAAGGCTGCAGTTGGTACTGACTGTTACTGGAAATTATGTCCTCATAACTGTGACCTTTAGTTGCAAGATTGTGTTTTGGCAAAATCCTTAGTAGCAGTCTCCATTACAGGCCAGTGTGCATGAGAGCTTTTCTTCATGGCCTCCTGAATCCATTTTATTAGGGTCTGCCAGAAGTGACTCCATTTTAATTCTGACATCTTTCACATGTCCCATTTTCACAATTCTAGAACTCTCTTACCTAACCCAAAGTATTACTTCCTCCTATATTCTAATACCACACACACTGATTTTTCTATTTTTTTCTGATTTTTGTTAGCACCTATCTGAAACACTTAAGTGATTTCTGTGGTTAATAAATTTGGCTTCCTAAAGTATATATTCACAGGTTCAAATCACAGATTCCTCACCTACATTTCAAGGTTTGATTGTCACTACTCTATTCCTAGAAATCTGTTTCAGCAGACTGTGCTAGAGTGAATACTTCATACCATCCTGCCCTTGTCAGAATCTCCTTTGTTCAGAAGTCCTTTTGTTAACATGGCACCCACATAGGGAAAAAGAGTCACTACATGAAGGTGAACCAGACCTATAGAACTCTTGTCTCAGCCCCTCTCTAGTATTACTTCTCACTGCAGGTTTCACCTTCCTTTGAGGTTGACATAAAAATACACAGGTCTTAGTTTGTTTCTGTGGCGATAAATAATATAAATTTATTTCTCATAAATCTGGGGGTTGAGAAGTTCAAGGTGAAGGCACGGGCAGACCCAGTATCTAGTGAGAGTCAATTATTCACAGAGGGGCGTTGTCACTGTCCTCACAGGGCAGATGGAGCAGGCAGAAAGAACAAAGATACTCTCTCAAGCCCTTTTGTGAGAGCACGAGTTTCATTCTTGAGGGCAGACCCCTCATGAGCTAGCCACTTCTTAAAGTCCCACCTCTTCATACCGTCACCTTGGGGTTAAATTTCAAAATCTTAATGATGAGTTGGGAGAGACCACCTATTCAGAATGTAGCAACAGATTAAACAAGGTTTACACTAATTTTCTAATGTAATCTATTCAAGCCTATAAAAATATGGATTGAATCAGGACACAAGTACTTGAGAATGAATGTCCTTGATATATATAAAGATTTAAATGGTTGTCCTTGCAGAAATGGAAGCACTCGTTATTCTTGCCAGGAACTTACACTCCTACAAATTTACCCAAAGTAACCTCTGGACTGCCTGGATTCTATGGTCACTATAGGTTGTTTCCCTTCTTCCTCTGCAGGTTTTCCTCTGGGCTCCACGGTGAGATCTGAAACCAAAGGCATCTGGATGTGGTGTATGCCCCACCCCTACAAACCCAACAACACCCTGGTCCTTCTAGACACTGAGGGTTTGGGTGATGTGGAAAAGGTAAGACAAAGTCATGGAGTCTTGATTCTCTACTTACATTTTTGTTTACAACTTCAATCCAACTTCTGTGGCCTATTTTTGCTCACAGCAAATCTACTTACAGGCAATGAAGCTAAATTCTTTTTCCTAGAATTTACTTCCAAGGTAAGCTTAAATACTTGGTATGTCAGGGAGAGATCTTATTTTTAACACTTGGATGAATGACATAATTTACTACATACTGAACAGCTGGATTTTAGGACTATATGCTAAATACATAACCCTGAATTCCAAAGCTCTGTACCAATCAGTAAACAAGAGAAAGGGTCATGCCTAGTTGAAGACAGCAGTATTATCCTTTAGAGCCTTTAGAGTATCCAAATGCAGGAAGTGGGACTTTAATCACTCTTACAAATTAGAGAAAGCTTCTTGGAAGAAACCATAACCACTGGGATTAATGAGTGCTACTAGTTAAGGTATGTGGTGTTTGTAGGGTTGAAGATAGATATCAGGAACATAGAGTTTCAGTTGAGTAGTCTATTTAAAAATCTATAGAAAATCACCAGCTACAGCACATTCATAGACGTTGTAGCCCAGCCACTGGATTTGGAGATAAATTCATCACTGACTTTTATGAAAACATAAGCTAGATCCACAAAAAACATTGTAAATTGGAAAAGTCTAGATGATTTGTCTTTATAGTGTAAGGTGCAATTAATCTTTTATTTATATTAGTCTGAGTAGAAATTGAAAGTAGCATCAGTATGTTCTTAGCTTTCACACTGCAAAAAGTTATGAGTGTGGAAATCTCATTTGGAAATAGTGACTTTAAAGATACAATTTTAGAGTTCTCAATCATCATTTCAGTGTAAAACCAAGATGAAATATTGATTTGAAATAGATTTTAATTTGGATAACTTTTTTCTTTTCCTTTTTTTGCAAAAGTACATTTGTTCAAGAGACCACAGTGTACAAATTTATAGTTGCCTGATGAAAGAAGAACAGCCGGTTGGCCTTGGAAGGTGTAGTGCAATTCTGTTAGTATTTAATTATATTTTAAGGACTTTCATATCTTCCTGAATCTCATTTCCAATCTTGTCTTCTTCTGCACACTTCTACTTGCTCCCTCAGTTCGATAAAATAATTCTATAATATCTTTATATGACCACACCCTAACAATTCGGACTTGGGCTCCATCAGTCCTTCAGTCTTCTTCATTCCTTTCATTTCTTCAAGTTCTTGTTTTAAGTACCTTTGGAGCCAAGTTTTTAAGGTCTGATTTATCAATTGGCTGCTTCCCTCACAGCCAAAGAAATATGAGAGACAGAGGGAGCTGAGAGAAGAAGTTTATTCCGATACCAAGGAATCATGCAACAAGCTGTGTATTCACCAAGAACCTGTTCATTTAGGCAACGTTTTTTATAAGTATTTATAACAAAACATACAGCTTCTTCTCTTCTTTAACCATGGATTAATCATGGCTACATGTCTTGTGACCATTACTTGGTCTCTTTCTTTTTTTTTTTTTAATTGGAGTCTCATTGTGTCACCCAGGCTGGAGAACAGTGGTGCACTCTAGACTACTGCAGTTTGACCAGCTGGGCTCAGGAGATCCTTCCTCCTCAGCCTTTCAAGAGGCTGGAACTACAGGCATGCGCCACCACGTCCGACTAATTTTTTGATTTATTGTAGAGATGAGGTCTCATAAAGTTGCCCAGGCTGGTCTTGAACCCCCAGGCTCAGGCAATCCCCTCACCTTGGCCACGCAAAGTATTGAAATTACAGGTGTAAGCCACTGCGCCCAGCTGTCAGTTTCTTTCTTAATCAATGTTCAGATCCTAAACAGTAACTGACACAAACCAGTGTTTACATTATTTCAATTCGGCCATTCTTCTAAGTTATAATTACCTTGAACAATTTGGGACTGTGTGTTTTCTAGCTGGTTGGAGTCTTTTACTTATTCTCAGAGTTCTGGACTACAAGGCTTAGCTAAACATTATAAACAAATTGAATAAAAAGACATGAAAGAAAGGAGTTGTCATGTAAAGTCTAAGGGAACAGATACATTCCAGATTGTAAGGAGTTTCAGCGGAGTACATTTCATACCTAGGTCCAGCAGAGGCTTCTCCAGGGTAGTGCAGTTTCTTGCATCTCCTACTTATTCAGGGAGCTCAAAGTAGATGGTTGTGTTTCCTTCAGTAACAGCAATGATACTAGATCCACAGGCAGTAAGGTGAGAGAAGGAAAAATGTGTGTTTTAAATTCAAGCAGCTTCCTCATTTAACCCAACTCAGCACAAAGAGAGTTTCTCAGTACAGGTTTCTAAGTCTTTTCTAAATAACTGCTCTAATATAACCAAAATTGCCTCTTTTCAGACTGTAGCATAGCTATTTTCTATCTGCTGGAATCAATTCCAGTTAGGCATAGCCCCTTCTTGCTTTGAGCTCACAGAGTATTTGTTCCTGTTTATTTGCCTTCTTTCTTCACCCTGTATTTTTAAAAATTGTTTTTTGTTTTGTTTTTTACATGATAACTTTGATCCCACTTCTGGCTGAAATTATTATTTTGGTTGCGTTTATCTGTTGGCATGTTTATCAGATACTCCAAAAAGTCATCTTCTTGTGGTTAGGGACTGTCTTACAGAAACTTGCATCCACAAAATCAAATGCAAGATTTGCATTTTGTACACAGAAAAAAAAAAGTGAATTCAGGTAAATAATGTTTGCATCCCTAATATAGCCCATAATTGCAAAAGTTTTCAAAAGGTTCATTGCCCACTAATTATTGGATACTTACTGTTATCTAGCGGTGTATCAAACATTTTACACATTGATGGTGTCAAATTGCTTCTTTTATTACCCAAAGAAAATGAAGCCATGAGAAGAGTCCATGCAAATGACAAAACTATGGTTTGAATTTTAGATCTGCTTCAAATTTTAGATTATTTGCCCTAATGTTAAGCTTTATATACTACAGTTAAAATAGTGAATGAACAACCAATGAGTGAATGAATGAATGAACGAAAAGCAAATACTTAAGTCTCCACTTGAATGTGCTTCCTAGCGCCATATCAATCCTGAAAAAAATTTAAGTTTATTCTCATGCAAAAAGTACAGATCATGATACTGGAGACTTCAAATCAAATAAGAAGAAGCTTCTCTTAAGCAGTTACAGCACAATTTATAAAGCACAGAAAAGGAAGTACTTAGATTTTTTTTGTGATTGGCCATCACACATTAGCAATAGTTTTTAGGACAAGTAGAGATATTTCAACTGCTTTTTTCATAACTGATTGATTTAATTTCACTGAATCATGCTGACAAGTTTGTAAAACTTACATTTGTCTTTCTTAAGAGTCAATGTTTTGGGAAAGCCAGAATGATTTCAGTTTTTATTACATGAATATCAGCAGTTGCCCTTCATTTACATCTAAACTGTGGCCTCCATTTTTTTTTTTGCTTCTAGGGAGACCTTAAGAATGACTCATGGATCTTTGCCCTGGCTGTGCTTCTGAGCAGCACTTTTGTCTACAACAGCATGGGCACCATCAACCTCCAGGCCCTTGAGCAACTACAGTATCCTTCCAGGAACTGGACCACCATGTTTTAATGAGTTTACAGTTATGGCTTGAGCATGTTTCTGTTTTTCTGTAATTCGATTGTCATGGATGAGCAAGGGATGGGGGTAGAAAGCAAAAAGCAAAAGTAATTTTTCTAAAACCTGTTTGTAAGTGAGATTGGAGAATTGTGATGTCAGGCTCTTCTCCTTCCTTAGCAAAGATCTCAGCTATGTGACTAAACTATCAGAGCTAATCAGAACACAATCCTGCCCCAGAACTGATGAAGTAGAGGACTCCTCTGAGTTTGTGAGTTTTTTCCCAGACTTTGTTTGGGCTGTTCGGGATTTCATGCTGGAGCTGAAGTTAGATGAACACCCCATCACAGAAGATGAGTACCTGGGGCATGCCTTGAAGCTGATTCAAGGTATAAGAGTGGCCTCGGTTGCGGGGAAGTTAAGTAGCATGGTAGGGATCCACTGCCTGGGTGGGGGGAGGTTTAAGAAGCAGGGTAGGGTTGATTCAGCACTTAACATCAGTGTTTATTTGAGACTAGATTGAGGTCCATCCCAACGTTAATTGGTGACAAGTTTTCATGATTTTAGTGGATATTATTGCTTTAATATTTCCAGAATGTAGGGTTTAAACTCACTTGAGGAAATTTAGGGCCCCATACTGGACCAAATGATTTTTGATCAATTAGTGCCATGAAAATAAAATTCTTGGTTACAATCAGTCCTACCACTTCCTAATTACCACATACTCATGATGATCTAAACAGAATCTTCCTGGACTATTTTGAAAAAAATAGTTCATTACATAGGAAGTTGGTAAACAATCTCTCGGAAAAAAAAAATTACCTGATTTTTAAAATCTATTTCATGCCATATATTTGACTAATGCCTGTATGGTTTCATCTTTCAAATTCAAAATTTTATAGTCTAAATGGACCCAAAATAATAGTGACATATTCTTCCAGTAAGACAGCCAAAAAATCCTTTATTTTACTTTCCTTTTAATACTGACCTCTTAATTCTGCATCCATATGCAATGTGTCATGCCGATAATACAAATTATTACATATATTTTAGAGAGTAAATAACTGACGGCAACTATAAAAATAGCTATTTTTGTTTATTCAGTCATTTATGTATTCTTTCACAAACAAATTATGAACAGCTGATGTACAAGATCTGACAATTAAGTTCAAAAACTCATCCTAGAAAAATTTCTACGTGCCTCACAGCTGGATATCACCATGTTCACCTTCAAATTACTCCCCTTGGGAAGCTATGCACCTATGCCACTACCTAGTCCACCTGTCAAAGCAATTTTGGAACTCTTCCTGGAATATCTAGGAGAGCCATCATCTGTGGTCTCCTTGATGTCCTGAATATCATCAAATGTCTTCATTTCAATATTTCTTTTATTTTCAAGTAAAGAAAAAAGTCATTGGGGACTAGATCGGGTAAGTAGGGAGGGTGTTCCAATGCAGTTATAGCCCATGCTATCAAGAGTGGCAAGTTCATTAACTTAATTGTTAAGCCACAACAAATAACAACAACAGCTCTGATGACCATTCCAGGAAAAGGGTTCCAAAACTGCTTTGACAAGTGGACTAGGTTCTGGCTTCGATGCATAGCTTCTCAAGCAGAGTACTTTGAATGTGACTTAGTGATATTCAGCAATGTGGTATGTAGCCCTTTTTCTAGGATGGTTTGTGAATCTAATTGTCAGACCATGTATGTCACAAAATCCCTTTGCAAGACACTGTCAAGTCTAACGTAACCTGATTAAAGAAGTGATACGGTCCCCAAATATCATTCAGGATAACCTTACTCTATGGAAGAGTCTACTAAAATAATAATTTCTAAACATATGCACAATATGTAATTTTTATTTTTGCTCTGATTGGTAAAAAGTTTTTCTCTTTACTGACCTGGGTTTTTTTGTCAATTTCAGACAATATCTCCATCAGCATTTTGTCCTTGTTTCTAGCTGAACTTTTTTTTTGAGCCCACATTTTATTTCTGACATGGGAGCAGTAAAATTAAAACAGTATATCACACTAAGTAAAATAACCCAGCACAGAAAGGAAAACACAGCATGATGTCACCTATTTATGAAATTGCAAACAAAAAAAGTGGAATACATTGAAACTGAGAGAAGAACAGTGTTTACCAGAGATATGGTGAAGGTGAGGGAGAAAATGGGCACAGTAGGTCAAAGGTCATTAACTTATACTTATGAAAGATTAATAAATCTAGAGATAGACTATACTGCAGGAGGACTAAATTAATAATATTGTACTGTCTACCAAAAATTGGCAAAGAGAGTATGTTTTAGGATACTTTACTCCTATTACAGAAAAAGAAAAAGAGATAAGTATGGAGAGTAATGGATACATAACTTGCTTGCTTGTAGAAATAATTTCACTATGTATATGAATGTCAAAGCATCATGTTATACATCTTCTATACACAATTTTTTGAAAAGTATTTCTCATTATTTTTTAATTAATCAATAATTCAATAAAAATTAATAAATAGTCAACTTGCCAGACATCATACAAAGGCCGAGAAAATCAGCAATAAATTATTTTACTTGGGGTGGATGCCTCTCCTTTTTGTCAGAAGTAGCTCCTTTAGTCTGCTCTGTGAAGGGATATATTTCCCATGCCCTTGATAGATTAGCATAAGACTAATTGCATGACTGGATAAAGAAGAGTCACAGACACGGGAGACTGCAATGACACAAGGACTCTGGAAATGAAAAAATCAGTCTTGACTAAAAGCTGCTCTTCAGTGTTCACTGTTTTTAATTTGCAGGCGAGAATCCTCAAATCAAAAATTCTAACTTGAGTAAAGAGTGCATCAGGTATTTCTTTCCAAAACGAAAGTGCTTTGTCTTTGACCGACCAACAAGTGACAAAAAACTCTTAGTCCGTATTGAAGATGTACCAGAATATCAGCTGGATTATAACTTTCAGAAACAATCAAGAAAATTTTGTTCTTATATCTACTCCCATGCAAAAACCAAGAACTTGGGAGATGGAATCATTGCCACTGGAAAGCGTGAGTCTCTTTGCCTACATGGGTGTTTATTGAGGCCTACTGTATCTCAAAAAACTAATACACTAAACTTGTAAGCACAAACAACTGATGAAATTATAATGTCTGTGTTGTTAGATGAATTCCTATGGGGCATTTAGTGTATGTGTTTCTCAGTAAGAGTATACAAGATAAACTGTGAATTCATCTAAAACAACATAAATAGCAAGCCATGAATCCCCTAAAACCTACAGAGATTTTGAGGTACAAAACTAAGTATAAACTTATATTCAAAGCTGGATTCATGGGCATGCTACCTGTGGAGTATTGTAGTGTCCTGTGCAGAGAAGAGCTTCTAGCCTGGTTTAATGTTCTATCACGGTCTTCAAATTCTTGGTAATTTCTTTTTACAAGGGAACCTAGATTCACATTCAGAGGTAAGACTCCCTGCCGGGCTCAGTTGCTCAGCCGTAATCCTAGCGCTTTGGGAGACTGAGGTGAGTGGATTGGGTGAGCCTGCGGAGCAACTTGGTAAGACCTCATCTCTATAATAAATCAAAAATTAGCTGGGCGTGGTAGCGCACACCTATAGTTACCGCTACTTGGAAGACTGAGGCGGAAGAATTGCCAGAGCTCAGCAGAGTGAGGCTGTGGTGGCCAGGAGCGTGCCTTTGCACTCCAGTCTGGGCGACAGAGTGAGACTCCAACTCAAAAAAAAGGAGAAGACTCCCAAATGATATGACTTACTTCCCCTGTTGAATAAATGCTTTAAAATATTTATTTAAATAGAAAAGTATATTTTCAGAAAACCCTTGAACATATGAGGTCCGACAAGTTTGTCAACTCATCCTAGAAAAAGAGCTACATACCTCATTGCTGAATATCACTATGTTCACCTTGGGAAATACTCCCCTTGGGAAGCTATACAGCAAAGCCAGTTCCTTGTCTGTCAGTCAAAGCTATTTTGGAATTATTTTCCCGGAATGGCCACCAGAGTTGTTGTTGTATCACCCTTGATATCCTCACATGTCTTCCTTTCAATAGTTCCTTTATCTTTGGGTTTAAAAAAAAAGTCATTGGGTCCAGATCAGGCAAGTAGGGAGGGTGTCCCAATACAGTTATTTGTACAGGGCTGCCAAGCAAGCACACAGCAGCAAGTTTGTGAACTTAATTGTCAGGCCCAACCAATAACGATAACAACCCTGATGGCCATTCCAGAAAAAGAGTTCCACAATTGCTTTGATGGGTGGACTAGTAGCTGGCATCAGTGCCTAGTTTCTCAAGGGAAGTACTTCAAGGTCATCCTAGTGATATTCAGCAATGAGATAAGTAGCACTTTTTTCTAAGATGGCTCATGAATCTCATTGTCAGACCTCATCCTGCATGTGATCAGTAACTTAATTTTGTAACATGATAAATTGGAGGATTATGAAAGAAAGTGTGAATAGAAACAATGAGAATTTTATATGAAGGTAGTAGATTTAGAACAAGCAGCAGTAACAGAAGTAGTTCTAACAGTACTAGCAGAAATAGAAAGAGGAGGAGGAGGAGGAAAAGAAGGAAATTTTATACTTAAATAGAGTGTTGGTCAGGTGCAGTGGCTCACACCCATAGTCCCAGCATCTTGGGAAGCTGAAGCAAGAGGATTGCCTTGAGCCCAGGGGTTTGAGACCAGCCTGGGCAAATTGGCAAGACCCATCTACAAGAAGACAAAAAATTATCTGGGCATGGTGGTGCATGCCTATAATTCCAGCTAGTTGGAAGGCTGAGGTGAAAGGATCCCCTGAACCCAGTAGGTCAAGGTTATGGAGGCTGTAAGCGTACCACTGCACTCCAGCCAGGACGACACAGTGAGACTCCAACTCAAAAAAAAAGTACTAGTAGTAACACCAGAAATAGGAAGAGAAGGAGGAGGAGGAAAAGAAGGAAATTTTATAGTTAAATTGTGTGTGTGTGTGTGTGTGTGTGTGTGTGTGTGTGTGTGTGTGATTCTTAGAGTGCTAATATACAACACATGTAAAACAATCATTGAAAATGTTTTATTTGATCCATAAAATTTCTAAATGTTCAGGACTGGGGACTCTGGTGGTGACCTATGTAGAGGCCATCAACAGTGGAGGAGTGCCTTGTTTGGAGAACGCAGTGACAACTCTGGCCCTTCTTGAGAACTCAGCAGCTGTGCAGAAGGCAGCCGACCAATACAGCCAGCAAATGGCCCAGCAAGTGAAGTTCCCTACAGAAACACTCCAGGAATTCCTGGGCGTGCATGAGGCCTGTGAGAAGGAAGCCATTGCAGTCTTCAATGCACAGTCCTTCAAGAATGAAAATCAGGAATTCCAGCAGAAGCTTGTGGTAATGTGGCTTAGTATTATTTTCTCCTGATTCTTGCTCTTATGGATGGTTACTTAGATTTCATCGTTTCAACATCATGGCTCATCTCCCACTGATAGTAGAAAGAGCTTGGGTTATTGCATGTGACAGGACTCTAATGGGCTATAGTTTTATTTTGCTAAAGGATGAAGAATTTTTAAATTGTACCTTATTAGTGGACGTTGAACAATTATCATAATACTATAAGATAGGGATTGGCAGTCATGGGAAACTGCCAGGGGATAGGAGGTCATACCTTATCAACAAGGGTACCTGCATAATGAATGTTTGTATACCTAACCCTGAATTGTACCCCACGTTTTCAAAATTAAATATTTTTTAAAAGAAGAAAAAATTGCACACAATGCATAACAAATTACAATGATTTGAACACATTAAAAAAGGCCATTTATACAACATAGTAACTATAGGTAATAACAATGTATTGCATCCTTGAAAATTGTTCAGAGAGTAGTATGTATGTGTTCTCACCACAAAAGAATGACAAGTATGTGAAGTAATGTACATCTTTATTACCCTGATTAAGTCATTTTATAATCTTTATAAATTTCAAAACAGTATGAAGCACATATTATATAAATGCAATTTTATCTGTCAACGTTAGAAAGATAAAATAAAATAAAGAAGTACTTGCCTGACTCTGAGAGTGAAAGAATACAATTTATAAAGCTCTGAGTTCTGAATTCAGAATTCCATTTAAGGAAGTCCGAGTGCTCTATTCAATATACCACAAGCTAAAAACAAGGTGTTGATGAAGAATAGTTCTCATATGGGTACTCTGGGAAACTCCTTACCATTTTCATGTCAGCAATGGATGCATCAAATACTCCTCATGTTCCTAATCTCCCTGAATTCCTCCTCTGGTAGAAGAAATCTCTTATTTTAAAGAGCTCATATAATTGGGTAATGCCCACTTAAATAACCTCAATTTCTAAAATCAACATGAGTGTCATAAAATATTACCTCAACACTAGAGTACAATCCATCATATTGATAAGCCCAGAAACTGTGGATTTTGTGGAAACAAGAAGGAAAAATCTTGGGGGAGATTAAATCTGCTTCCCATAGTCATTGTATAGCCTTCTTTCAGTTTGCCTTTTTTCCATCCACAAGTGATGGAAATCTCTAAGTACATATTGAAAAAACCCAACTGCATCATAATTTACAAATGCAAGCCATAACATTATGTTTCTATATATTCACATGCTGAAATTCTCTTTGGAGGAATTTCAAGAGTTCCAAACCTTTTTCAGAGTACACTCAAGTCATTACTGGAAGAGGGTTTTCTACACATACATTGATCTATAGGAAACCATGTTCTCCAAGGGTACTACTACAGCCACAAATCAATGTTCTATTGCTCATTGTTAATGACTGGATCACTGTTAATCAATTATTGCTGAAGGAAAGAGGCAGTTCATGTTTCTCAACACCCCCCTTGACAAATGGTGTGCGTGGCCCCAAGAGTATTAAAGCACTTTCCAGAGAGCACACACAAAATGGATTAGAACTGGGACACAAGCATGTCTTCTGACTCCTGGTATATAGAGCTTCCCTGTCCATCCTGAAGCCATCAGACTGCTTCTTCCAAGAGGATCACAGTTGGCGCTCTCCTAACTGTGTCTCTCCGTTGCATTTCCCTACCTTTTTCTGTCAGGAAACCATACGTCAAAAGATGGCAAATATCTTGCAGCAAAATGAAGATGCATCTACCAAATATTGTCAGGAAGAGCTTAAGAGGCTTTCAGAGCCCTTGATGAAAAGCATTTCAAGAGGAACTTTCTGTGTTCCTGGCGGACACAGTCTCTACTTAGAAGAAAAGAAAAAGCTTGAACATTACTATAATCTAGTACCCAGGAAAGGAGTTAAGGTAAGGAATAGGGGGAGGGAGAAAGACTGCCAGAGTATGGTCAGAGAGTATTTGTTATCCTTTCTGAAAATAAATCTAAGATGAGGAGACCATTTGTGGAGAAAAAGCAGAACATGACACTATATTGGCATTTTTAGTTTGTATATCCACAATTAGTTAGACACTCTTAAGGACACTTTACAGAAACACTTCTTGTCAAAGAGGATTTAGAATCAGGAATCCAGGTGAAGCAAACCATTTCTTTTATTTTTTTAAAAATGGGAGAGTTTTTGTCCTAATTACAGAGGATACATTAGGAAATAAACAATCTTGTTTTCAGAAGTTTATGCTCTTACCCGAAATGGACAAATAATAGCCAATTGTATATGATGTGATTGCGATTATAATCCTGATAAGTACTGATATTCATAATGATGATGATGAGGTTAATGGCTAATACACATTGAGCATTCATTTCTTTATACTAGGTATGTTTTTAGGTGATCTTGCCGGGTTATCAGTTTAATCTTCCACACTGTGTTGTTGAAAAAGGTAATTCTGGGAGAAGCTAACTACTACGGTTCCCAAAATGATACAGTCATCAAGTGTTGGACCTAATAGATTTCATCTATGTACTTGGCAGTCATTTGAAACACAGAATTTTTGCTTTTGAGGAAACTTTATCTGTGTTTTATGATGACCATACCAATTTACTTTCCTACCAACAGTGCCTGAGGATTCCTTTTCTCCACATCCTTGACAACACTATTTACCTTTTGACTTTTTGATAATGGCATAAATGCAAGATAATATCTCCTTATGGTTTTGATTTACATTTCTCTGAAGATGTTGAACATACTTTCACATACCTGTTGATCATCTGATTGTCTTCTCTTGAGAAATATTGATTTAGGTTCTTCACTCATTTTTAATTTTGTTTTGTTTTTTCTTTGTTGGTGCTGTTTGGCTATTGAGTATAAATGTGTTTTTCAAGAAAACCACAGATCTAACCCTGTAAACTCTGCATCCTGACCAGACCAGGACTCCACAACTGTTCATTTTAAATATATACAATCTTATTTGTCAATCATACCTCAATAAAACTGAGAAAAAAATCAGAAAAGCTTTCTGGAAGAGAGGTAGGAACTAATAGCTGGAATATTAGCAGATGTTGTTGTAGTTGAGAAAGGGTTGCACAGATTCCAGGCAAAAGGAAAAGAATGTGCAACTACTGCAAACAATGGAGAATATGTGTTTAAAGAATGGCACATAAATCTAAGGTTCTGCATCTCTGGGTGGGCAGTGGGCAAAACATTCCTGGGAGAAGAGGCTGGAGAGCTGGGAAGGAGGTTGCTGCATAGAGTTTTTAATGTCTCACCAAAGACCTGGGGCTTTTTATTGTGTCCACAGAATAAAGAAATCACCATGAGATCTTCAGAATACTGCAAAGTTTACAGTTTCAGATTTGTGGTTTTGTTGAAAAAATACTTTCTTCATCAGAAAGCTAGATATTTACTGCCTGACTGGCCTTTCCTCCTTCTCGATTCCTTAGGCAAATGAAGAATTGCAGCGTTTCCTGCAGTCACTGGTGGTTGTAGAGAAATCCATCCTGCAGACAGACAAAGCTCTCACCACTCAAGAGAAGGCCTCGGCAGGTACAGGGTCAAGACTTAGCTTTCAGAGGGTTGGGTAGGTTCCTGCAATGCCCTGTTAGCAATCAGTCAAAAGGATTTTCTTGATACAAGAGAGTCTTCCTACTATGGAACACATGATCTGCTAACTCTAAAAGTAACAAGGGGAGTTGGGGTTGCATAGCCATCCAGTCAGCGTCTATCCATCACATTCTGATTTATATTCCTGCTGACATGTCTAGTGGGAGAATTCAGAGATTTCCAATTTTTCAGCTCCGGCCTTTTTCAAAATCAGTTTGGCCTCTGGGTTCAAGAGAATATAACTCAATTCTGAATCTTTTTTCTCTTCTAAACCTTTGTGGAACAGCTGAGCGGACCCAGAATGAGATTGCTGAGAAAGAAGAGAAGCTGAAAGAAGAGCAAAAGACGGACCTTGAGCAAATGAGAAAATCTCAAGAGAGAATATTCTGGAAAGTCATAGACCTACTGCAGGAGATACATGAGAAGAATACCGAAAACCGTGTGAGAGACTTGAAATGGATACTGGATCACAAGCTGCAGGTGAGTCTGGATGAAGTCTGGTAGTGCTTGAGGTACTACACCCTGGTTCTGTAGAAAGAGAAGGGCCACAATTTTAAGCACAGCCATAATTCAAGAAGGAAACACTAAAGATATATTTCACTAAAACCTCAAAAACATTTAAATATTATTGAAGCCCATATGTCTACAAGATCCCATATTCTGTCTGGTTAGACATTGGAAAGTACACATGACAATCATTAGGGTGCTGGGCTAATGTTTTTAATATGTTTCTTTCATCTGTGATTTTTTTTCTTTTCATTGGTATTTTATAACTCTCCTGTGGAAATCTTTCACCTCCTTGATTAAATATTTTCACTGGTATTTTTTTGTTACTACTGTAAGTAAGATTGAATTCTTCTTTTGATTCTCATCTTTATCATAATCTGTATATAGAAATGTTAATAATTTTTGTACATTGATTTTTTTATCCTGAAACTTTACGGAAGTCGTTTATCAAATCCAAAAGTCTTTTGGGACAATCATTAGCATTTTCCAGGTAAAAAGTTATGTCATCAGTGAACAGAGATAATTTAATACCTTTTCCTCAATTAGGGTGTACTTTATTTCTTTCTATTGCCTGATTGCTCTAGCTAAAACTTTCAGTACTATGTCAAATAAGAGTGGTAAAAGTGGGCATTCTTATCTTTTTCTAGTACTTAGGGAAATGCTTTCAACTTTTCACCATTCAATATGATCTTGGCTACGGATTTGTCAACTCTTACTATTTTGAGATATGTTTCTTCAGTGTCTAGTCATTGAGGGCTTTTATCAGGAAAGGATGGTAATTTTTGTTGAATGTTTTTTCTGCATCTATTAATATAAATATATGTTTTTGTTTGTAATTCTATCTATGTTTATAATCGCATTTACTGATTAGCATTTGTTGAACCATCCTTGTGTTTATAGAGAAAAAAAGCTCATTTTATTGTGGTGTTTTATCTTATATTTTGTTGAGGGTTTATATACCTAATGTTTATCAGAAACATTGGCCTGTAGTTTTCTTTTTCCAGTGTTTTTCCCCAGCTTTGGCTCATGATGATACTGACATTGTAGAATGAGTCAGAAAGGATTCCCTCCTCTTCAATTTTTGGAAACAGTTTCCATAATATTCATGTCACTTCTCCTTTATACATCTGGTAGAATTCAGTTGTAAATCTGCCCGTCCCTGGAATTATTTTGTAGTTGTTCAGAGATTTTTTTTTTAAGTGTGAGGTACAATTCAGGATTAGGTATATAAGTGGTCATCAACAGGTATAATTTGAGCCTCCCTTTGGTCCCCACTTTACCTGGTTGGAGATCAGGTACCCTTATTAATGTTATTTGCCCCCCCTTCCCCTGGCAGTTTTCAGCTACTGCCAATCCCCTTATAGCATTATGGTAAATGTTCAGGGTCTACTTATGAGTGAGAGTATGTGGTACTCAGTTCTTTTTTTCTGTGATAAATCACTGAGTATTATAGACTCTAAATTCATCCAAGTTGCTGCGAAGCTCATAATTTTGTTCTCCCTTATGGCTGCATAATATTCCATCATGTATATGTACCACTTTTTTTTATCCAGTCCACTTTTGATGGGCAGTACAGTTGGTTTCATGTTTTTGCTATTGTACAGAGTGCTGTGATAAACATTAGTATACAGTTATCATTTTTGTAGAGTGATTTAATTTCCTCTGGGCATATTCTCAGAAGGGGGATTGCTGGGTTGTATGGAAGGTCAGTTTCTAGCTCTTTTAGGAATCCCCACACTATTTTCAATAGAAGTAGAACTAGTTTGCATTTTTGCCAACAGTGTAGAAGTGTTCCCTTTTCTCCATATCCTCACCAGCATGTTGTTTTATTAATGATGGCCATTCTTACTGGAGTTAGGTTGTGGTATCTCAATGTGGTTTTGTTTCGTGTTTTTCGGATGATTGGTGAGGTTGAGCATATTTTCATGTGCCTGTTGGCTGCCCATATGTCTTCTTTTGAGAAATGTCTATTTACGTCTTTTGCCCACTTTTTAATGGGGCTGCTTGTTTTTATCCTTTTGGCACATTTGAGTTCTTTGTAGATCCTGGATGCTGGGCCTTTGGCTGATATGCAGTTGGCGGATATATTTTTCCTATCCTGTGGGTTACCTCCTCACCCTCTTGATGGTTTCATCTGCCTTGCAGAAGTTTTTCAGTGTGATGAGGTCCCGCTTGTCTAGCTTATCTCTTATGGCATGAACTTTTGGGGTGTTGATGAGGAATTGGTTGCCTATTCTGATTTCCGTGAAGGTGTCTCCTGCATTGCCTAAGATTCTTAAAGTTTGAGGTTTTGCATTTAGGTCTTTGATCCATTTGGTGTTGTTTTTTTGTGTATGGTGATAGGTAGGGGTCCTGTTTCATTCTTCTGCATGCGGTCAGTCAGTTTTCATTTACTGAATAGGTTCTCCTCTCCACAGTGGTTGTTGTTGGAGCCTGTCAAAGATGAGTTGGTTGAGACATTGAAGTTTTGTTTACAGAATCTCTATCCTGTTCCATTGGTATCTATGCCTGTTCTTGTACCAATACAAGGTTATTCTGATTATTGTAGCCTTATAGTAAAGTTTAAAGTCTGGAAGTGTAATACCTCTCACTTTGTTTCTTTTGCTAAGTATTGTTTTACCTATTCATGGTCATTTATATTTCTATATGAATTTCTGTATTGTTTCAAGGTCTGAGAAGAATGATGTTGGTAATTTAATGGGTATAGCGTTGATTGCCTTTGGTAGGATGACATCTTAACGATGTTGATTCTTTTTTTTTTTTTTTGAGTTATAGTCTCACTCTGTTGCCCAGACTGGAGTGCAGTGGCCGCTCTGGGCCACCACAGCCTCGACCTGCTGGGCTCCAGCGATCCTTCCGCTTCAGCCTTCCGAGTAGCCAGAATGACAGGCGCGCGCTACCACGCCTAGCTAATTTTTTGATTTATTGTAGAGATGAGATCTCGCCTGCCCAGGCGGGTCTCGAACCTGCGGGCTCAGGCAATCCACTCACCTCAGCCTCCCAAAGGCGCGGGATTACAGACTGAGCCACCGTGCCCAGCTGATGTTGATTCTTCTAAGCCATGAGCATGGAATATTTTTCTATTTGTGTCATCCTTGATTTCTTTGAGCATTGTTTTGCAGTTCTCGTTATAAAAATATTTCACGTCTCTGTTTAGGAAGATGCTGAGGTATTTCATTTTTTGTGGCTATTGTGACTAGGGGTGTGCTTTTTATTTGGTTCTCTGCCTATTTGTTGTTGGTGTATAGGAATACGGCTGTCTTTTGCACATGTATTTTGTACCCTGAGAATTTGCCAAAGTCCTTTATCAGTGTAAGGAGGTTTTTTGACAGATTCTCTAGGATTTTTGAGGTATAGGATCATATCATCTGCAAAGAGAGATAACTTGACTTCTTTTCTCGTTGGGATACCCCTGATTTCCTTCTCTTGTCTGATTTTTCTAACTAGGACTTCCAACTCTATGTCGAACAGGTAGAGTGAGAGTGGGCAGTCTTGTCTTGTTCCAGTTTTCAAGGAAAAGGCTTCCAATTTCTGTTCACTTAGCAAGATGTTGGCTGTGGGTGTATCAAAGACTGCTCTTATTATTTTAAAATATGAACCCTGTATGCCTAGGTGTTAGAGGGTTTTTATCAAGAAGGGGTGTTGGATTTTATAGAAAGCTTTTTTCACATCTAATGGTAACCATGTGGTTCTAGTTTTTACATCTGTTGATGTATTTAATTATATTTGTGGTCATGCAGATGTTGAATCAGCCCTGCATCCAGGGGATGAACCCTCTTTGGTCATGGTGGATGATTTTTGAGATGTGTTGTTTCATCCAAGTTGCTACAATTTTGTTGAGAATTTTTGCATCTATATTCAGGGATATTATCATGTAGTTTTCTTTCTTGGTGGAATCTTTACCTGGTTTGGGTATAAGTGTGATGTTAGCCTCATAAAATGATTTGGGGAGAATTTCAACTTTCTCAATTGCTTAAAATACTTTCAATAGGACTGATGTCAGCTTTTCCTTGTATGTTTTGTAGAATTCTGCTAGCAATTCATCTGGTCCAGCTATTTTTGTTATAGGTAGTTTGCTTATGATAGAGTCCATTTACTAGGTTGTTATTGGTCTATTTGTCGTCTCAATGTCTTCTTGTTTCAACCTTGGAATGTGTGTTATGTCAGAAAGTACTCAATTTCATTTAGGCTATCAGGTTTTTTCCCATACAGGTATGTGTAGTAATCGCTGATAATCCTTTGTATTTCTTTGGGGTCAGTGGTGACTTGAACTTTTGCATTTCTAATTGTATTTATTTGGACTTTTTCTCTCTTTTTCTTGGTCATCCTGGTTAGAAGTCCTCAGTCTTATTTGTCCTTTGAAATAACCATCTTTTTGTATTGTTAATTTTTTCTGTGATATTTTTATCTTCTACATCCTGTATTTGAGCTTTTACTTTGGTGATCTGGATTCTTCTGCTGAAGTTAGGGTTTGAGTGCTGTTGCCTTTCCAGCTCCCTTGGGTGATTTGTTGGGCTCTCAACTTGTTCTCTTTCTATCTTCTTGATGTGTGTTCATTGAGATTAGATTAGTATTGATTTCATGACATTCCAGAGGTTCAGTAAGATGTTTCTTCATTTTCATTTGTTTCCAGGAGTCTTTTCTTTTGTTCAGTTGATTTATTTTGTTTATTTTTACTTTTACTCTTTTTTTTTTTTTTTGAGTTGGAGTCTCACTCTACTGCCCAGGCTGAAGTGCAGTTGTACACTCACAGCCACCACAGCGCAGACCTGCTGAGCTCTGGTGATCTTTCCACCTCAGCCTTCCAAGTAGCCAGAACTACCAAGCCCATCTGATTTTTAATTTATTGTAGAGACAAAGTCTCATCAAGTTGCCTGGGCTAGTCCCAAACCCGCAGGTTCAGGCAATCCACTCTCCTCGGCCTTCCAAAGTGCTGGGATTATTGGCTGAGCCACCGAGCCCGGCCTATTTTTTTTTTAATTTTAAAGATGTGGTGTACAGTTCAGGGTTAAGTATACAGATGTTCATTGTGCAGGTACACTTGTTGATGAGGTGTGTTCACCCCAATAGCAGAATTCCACTATTGCCATACCTACCCCACCCCCAGCTATTACCCCACTATTGACAATTCTTTTCTTATAGTATTATGATAAATGTTCAAGTCCACTTACGAGTGAAAGCATGTGATACCCAGTTCTTTGTTTCTGTGATAAATCACTCAGTGTTATAGACTCTAAGTCTATCCAAGTTGCTGTGAAGTTTATAATTTTGCCCTTCTTCATGGCTGCATAATATTTCATCATGTATATGTACCATATTTTTTTATCCAGTCCTCTTTCAATGGGTAGACATGGTTAGTTCCATGTTTTTGCTACTGTGAGCAATGCTGTAATAAGCATGTGTATGCAGTTATTTTTTCCATAGAGTGGTTTGAGTTCCTCCTGATATATTCCCAGTAGGGGAATTGTGGGGACACATGAAAGGTCAATTTTTAGACCTTTTAGGAATTTCCAAATGGCTTTCCACATATGTTGCACTAGTTTATACTCCCACCAACAGTGTGGAAGTGTTCCCTTTTCCTCACACCCTTTCCAGCACCTGTTGTTTTTTGAGTTATTGATGATGGCCATCCTGACTGGAGTTAGGTAGTATCTCAGTGTAGTTTTAATTTGCACGTCTTTGATGACTAGTGAGGCTGAGCATTTTTTCCTACATGGTCACAAGTCCCAGGGCATCCAGTTCACAGTGGGAGAATAAGGCCTCCTGTCTCTGCCCTCCCAATCTGTTTTTTTTTCTTGTTGTTGCTAGGGGTAGCAGGGAGGCAGCTAGGCACTCACCATCCTCCTTCTCAGTCAGTTCCACGGGTCTGCATCTATCACTCAGCTGCTGGCTCAGGGTGGAGAGTGGAACGTCTGGGGTAATGCATCTGCAGTTACCCAACAGGGCTTGTGCAGTGGGGACAGTGTTCTCAGAGGTCACAAAGAGCAGCCCCAATGCAATGCAGAGATCATTGCCTGGTCTCAAGATGTAATCCTGCTGTGCTGCAGAGGCTGCCCTGGAACACTTCTCTGCCCAGGCATTAGAGCATCTGCTCAGTTTCTCCACCAGCTGCTGTTCCTATCACAAGTGGAGTCAATAGCTCCCTCCCCAGCAGTTACCAGTTTCTGGATCTCAGGACTGGTTGCAAGGCTCTGGAGCCCATTCCAGGCTTGAGGTGGCCTCTCCCCATTACTTCCTTGAGACTTTGACTCAGGCTCCCTCACCGCGTTTCCTCCATGGCCCTCACTGTCAGTATTCAGCCTGGCACTGTGGTGGTGGAGTCAGTAACTGCTCCAGCAGTTCTTCCCAGGGAAAGCTCCCAACTTGTCTACTGCTAGGTCTTCCGTTCCAATTGTATGTGTCAGTGTTTGGCGGGGCGTCTGTCTCCCTGGTACTGTGCACTTGGAGTATCCTCTCTGGGCAAATGATGGTCGACTTCAGAGGGGTGTAGAGATTACCCCTCAGTCTCAAGATGCAGTCTTCTCAGATTTGGGTGAATTAAAGCAGATCTCTGTTCAGGCCTGAGACAGAGAAAATGGCAGTGGTCCGTCTTTTCTCCTCTAGTGGGGCTCAGCTCCATATTTCCTCCCCATGTTTCTCCACAGTCTCTGCTGTCAGTGCCTGGCCTGTTGCCGTAAGTTTTAGTTTGGGCCAAGTGCCAGGTGTCGAGAGGCAGCTCATCTCTTCTGCCCTTCCTAAGAGATGCCCCCAGGGATGGTGGATCCTTCTGCAAGCAGTGGATGCCGAATTTACAGCAGCGGCAAATTGCAGTCATTTCTGAAGAGGGGCTCCAGGTGCTTGGTCCTATGTCTCCCCTCAGTTAGACATTTGCTCACCCACATGCACAAACAAATGGATGCACATAAGTCCTTTTACACACTCACGCATGCAGAGACTCTCATATTTTAACCAGATCCATCACCATCTTGTCCCTTTCCCCACAGACTGTGTTTTCTTCGGAGATTTTTTAAATTATGGTTTCAATTTACCACTTATCTTTGTAAAAATGTACTCATTATTTTGATTTCTCTTTTTGGAAGAGGCTTACCCTGCTGCATCTAATCGGATATCTTGGACTCCTCCATTAACTGTGCCCAAATTTAATAAGACTTTAGTCCACCCGTCCTTGGGATTCTTGACACAATCATCCAAAAGACATGAAATAGATCATCTAAACTGAAAGTATCAGATTTGGTCTGATATGAAATAGGAGATACACTATTCTATACAGTGTCAGCAATTCTCATTATTTGGAGTGTGGCCTTGCTAGCTCAGTGGACCTGAGAATTAGTTAAAATTAAATCTGCATTTCTCCCAAAAGGCATTCTTTGTGCTGGAGCATGGCTCCCTATCTCCAGTGAGATGATGCAGAGGGAACGTCACAATAGTATCAACCTTGGATGCCTCCACTATACGGGTCAAAAGTTCTGGAAATATTGCAGATCATATCAGCTCTAAGGTGGCACAGAAGTAGACACATATGCTTAACTGAGGAAATTTTTAAATACTAAACTCTGTTTCTTAATATTGAAGATTTTTAAAGGCTGACTATTCCTGTGCAATAGGTTCAAGAACAACTGTGTGCTGAAGGATTTCCACAGAAATCTGAGAAGATAAATAAAGAGATAAATCGACTGCTAAAAAGCATTGAATTAAAAAATAATGAAAAGTCTTCACTGCCTTCAAAGATATTTGAAATGACTTTCACAACATTTGTGGAAAGAGTTACGGATTTTCTGTTTAAAAAGGCATGTAAACATCTCAAAGAAAATTTTAAGTGAGATGACAATTACTGATATGCTAATTTTACAATGATACTTCTGTTGTGCTAATAGCAAAACACTGTGCCTCATTTTACAAGTATATGTATCTTGCTAGTTTTAGTCAAGAAATGTTTAAATTTAAAAATAAATTATTAGAGACTATCAGGGACTGACATACAATGAAAACTCAGTTTTCATTGAATTAATAAATATGAGACAAATTGAAAAGATAATGCATGACATTACTCCCAGAAAAGATTTAACTAAAGCATTGCAATTCATATTGTAGTCGCAGAGATGATTTAACTTATAGGGCACTCTTCTAAATCAGTGAGAAGAAAGCAACAGACACAGTCTTAGATAAGTAGAAGTATGAGAATAAAAATATGTAATTTCACTGATAATAAAAGTTGTGTAAAATGAAACCATGAGGTTGAGTTTTTTATTTCACCTCTGTGATGGGCAAAAAACAGCAGTTTGGCAGAACATTGAACTGACAAGTGTTGAGGGAAACTGACCATGTTTCATATGGGCTTGTGAGAGTATGAAAACTTGGAGTTATGTGTCAAAAATTTGAATACACATACCTTTGATCAAGGAATTTTTCATTTAAGTATTTACCTTATACATGTATTTACCCAAGTTTAAAATTGCATATGTAATAGTATATATGCTACAGGATTACTGTGATGTCAAAAGCCTGGAAACAAATTTAAAATTTCTTTGTCAGATACTGAAAATACAAATATCTGGAGAGATCCATAAAAATATTCTACAATCACTAAAATGAAATAAGAAGCTCTACTTGTATGAATTTGAGAAATTGTCCATGATCTATAAATTTTCAGAAGATTCATACTACCACTGAACTAAGAAAATAATGAAAATGTGCAAATATATTTTATCATCTCCCTCTTGAAAACTACCAAACATGCTAGTATCGGTGACCACATCAGGCAGAGAACTGAAGAGTTGATGTGAGAAATGAGAGGATAACTTATTTAACATTACGTATTCTGTGCCTTTGATATTTTCTGTGGATTTATTTCTTGTTCAAACATGAATACAATTGCTAAAATTTTAAATAAACGAATACATGGGTAAGAAAGCTCTCATGACAAGATAAAATTGATTAACACTACTAGAAATAGCATAAGTCAGCTCCAACAAGAAAAGCTTGCTCATCAAAACTGGAAACTAGACAGGCATGAGACATGAATCCTACTTTTGTTTCGATCACAGCTTTTCAGTAGAAATTCATATGTCTTTTTCCAGATATCCTGGACATATTTTCAGTTGTCTAGTTCTGAAGAACTTATAGCTCAAGTGAACTCTTTGTAATTCCTCAAAATGGACATATTATTGTGACTGTGGGTCTTTGCACACAGAACACAGACTTCTTAAAACAATCCCGCTTCTTCACCGTATCTCATTTATTTGCAAACTCTGCTTTTTCTTAAGGTGTTCTATTTCTAGACTGCCTGATGAAGACTGGATGAAGTGCTTGTGTCTGTGTTCTCATATATTATTTTGTCACTCCAATCATAGTAATCTTTATATAACTGTGAGATTAAAACTGCCTATGCACTTCTATCTACCACCTATTGATCTTAGGAGCTTGTTCTTCATCACTTTATCTTTAGTTCCAATTATAAAACTCACCACATACCCCAGTTGTGGATTGATTTTAAATAAGTGAGCCAACCTCCAACTGGGCACCAATTTACCATATCCTTACTGGATTACCCGGATCTCTAGGATTCTTAATATAATTTTAGGCACATGCCGAAGAGGGTCACTGAATTGTAAAGGGCAGGCACACGTGTCTGAGTTTGCCACCCTCTCTGAGGGGCTGAACAACCCATGAGTTCTGTGTTCCTCAAGCTGCTTACTCATGTTGATTATCCAAGAGTGTAGTCATTACCATTTGATCCCTACAGGATTGTGATGTTTAAATCAATAAAAGTGCCAGAATCACGCAAACCTCTCACTTCTACCATAGTTCTTCTGTCAGTTCAGGCTACTCTTGCTGAAATAAAATCATGCTTTTTATGTAAGGATCAAAATCTCACTGAAAATGCTGCCTACAAACTGACAGGGTGAAACATGCACATTGTCCATGAAGACAACAGATAACAACACTGTGATTACTCATTTCTTCTTTTCCTCTAAAATCCTACAAGCACAGCTCTGATTTTCTCAGAGTTTTGAAGCAATGCTTATTCCTTTCCCATTTTCTCAAACAAAAACCACTGGAATGAGAAGTCCTGCAGCTAATCCGGCCCCCAAATGCTCATTGGCGTCACTCAAAGTAATGCTCTGAACATGCACATCTGGATGGTCGAGGAAAGTGCAATGAGGGAACAGGAGAAAACTCTGCTTTCCCATTAAATTTCCTCAACACACAGCCAGCAATGGAAAATTCTCCAGTCAGTCGAAAAATATTGGCACGAAATTAGGGCTGTTTATATACCAGAAAGTTTTCCGTATGGGCTGAAGACAATAAAAGCAGAGAAAAGAAATCTCCACCTGCTTTGAGGTTCAGGCATAAGATGTCATCTGTTGAAATAAATTTTATATACTTCAAAAGTAAAACTCCAGACTGAAACCTTCTTACATACTGGAAAATTAACATACGATTGGTGAACTATTGAAGATATAGCAGATCCTTTTCCAGCATCTAATAAGTTTATAGGAAGACAATACACATCCCAGGTTGCACATGGCATTTTCATACAGTGAGAATAAGCTGCTTTGCCATTTCTAAGATTCTCTCTGTGCTTTCTTGCACTTTGTTATAGCCTGACTCATTGGAGCCACCTTTTATCTGGCAGACTGAGCTTGAGGTTCCCTCACAGGATTTATTTCTTAAATAAACTCTTCAGTGTTGGATAGTTGTTAGGGGTGCCAACTTGTGAAAAATAGGGCATTGTATATCTTTCTGAGGGAATACTAGAAATTGCTTAAAGAAGCAAGAAAACTGAGACAGTGCTTCATGGTCTCCTGAAGCTCCCTCTGTCTCAGATTAAATAACGTTACATATGCATATACTGAATACAGGGAAGAAGTAAGAACATTTAAGTAATGTATCTGCATCCTGGGGAGGTGCCTGTCTCTGAAGCAAAAAATCACCCTCACTGGACACAGTGAGGGTCTCTGAGAGATTTCCTGTCCTTGATATTCGAACACAGGCAGGATCCTCTGTAAAGTGAGTGTGAGAGGCAACAGCTTAAGTCCCTGGGTCTGACATACTTCATGCTATGTTCATAAAAGGGAACTGGTACCTGTTTACTTCTGCTATACAATTGCATACTTTAAGCGGCATGACTTCACTATTTCTGTCAACCATTATGTCAGTTAATAAATGCTTTGTTCTTAATGCAGAAAACTATGCTTCCTGTGCTAAATTGCCAACTCTTAAGGTGATCATTTCAGAATAGGACAATTCACATACTCATTAACCACCCTAGAGGGTTAAATTGGAGTTAACTTTTAAACACCCAGAGTGCACTGCTTTTACTGTACAATGTACTGAATATTTGTTTACGTCACCTCAGCATTCATATGCTGAAACCCAGCTCCCAGTATGATGGTGCTAGAAAGTGATGCTTTAGGGAGTATTATGATATGAAGAAAAGTCTTCATTGTTAAGATTAGTATCCTTATAGGGAACTGATGAGACCATAGCTATCCTTTTCCTCCATATGAAGACGGTACAAGAAGGCATCATCTATGAACCAGAAAGTTAGGCCTCACCAGACAACAAATCTGCCAGTGCCTTGATCTTCTAGTTTCCAGCCTCCAAAACACTGAGCAATAAATTTCAGCTAGAAAGACACTTAAAAACCGTATAATTTATAGTATTTTGTTATAAATGACCCAATGGACCAAGATACTCTAAAAAGTTTTAAAGTAAATTGCCACACAGATGAAATAATAATTTGGCACAGTTTCAACATTATATTGTTGTAAAGTTTTGTGTCTTTATTTGCTCACCAGAAAAAAACATTGTTATTGACTCTATAATTACATCAAATGCCCATGATTTCTCTTGGCATATGCCTGTGGGTCCAGCTACATGGAAGGCTGCAGTGGAAGGATCACCTGAGCCCAATAGGGATGGGGCGACAGAGTGAGACTGCAACTCAAAAAAAAATAAAAAAACGCAGTAACTCTGTAGGCTTTTCTCCTTTTTGTGTTATCATTTATATATGTTATATCTATATACGCTACAAACTCAATAATACATTGTTATAATTATTAAACTATATTATTTTATGCTTTTTAGAGAAGCTTTGTACTTTAAAAATATAAATGTATGGAGCTGGTATATATTATGATTTATGTTAACCTTTTTACTTATAATTTTTTGTTCTCTTTGTTTATTTTTTATGTTTTCTATTTACTTATTTATTTTATCTATAGAAATGGAATTTCACTATGTTGCCCAGGTTGGTCTTGAACCCCTAGGATCAAGAAGTCCTTCCACCTCAGCCTTTCAAAGTGCTGGGATTACAGACCTGAGCCATCATGCCAAATTTGGTTGCATTTCTTGATTCCAATACAACTTTGCCTCCAAATTCCTCGTTTGTGCTGGTCTTGTTAAGTATATCACATTTGTATATGATAGAAGCCCTGCAATACAATTATATAAATAATACATTTTTATAATAATTTTAAAGGAGAAGAAATAAGCATTTATGCTGCCTTTTATAATTACGTAATTCCTTTACTGATGCTTTGTTGATCCATTGAGATTTATGTTTCCACCTGGGACCACAGGCTTTTGGCCTGAAAACCGTATTTTACAATGTCTTATAAAGTAGATGGCTAACAGCACATTTTCTTCAGGTATCTAGGGTTGAAATACCCCATATAGCACTTTAAAGATAAACACAGTTCCTTTGGAAAGTACTTCAGACTTCTCTTATTTTATAGACTGCCTCTCTCTCCGTAAAAATTCTCTGAGCCACTGCTCCTTTCACTGAACAGGGGTGGAAGCTTCTAACTTTTTTGTT